TATAGATTGATTAGAATGTGAGTTTCATGAGGGCAGGGGTTTTTGTCTGATTTGTTTTTCACTCTGTCTTCAGACCCTAGAATATTACAGCATAGTTGCTAAATAAATACGTAGATACACATGAAAGTGAATGTTTCCTTAGGAGCTCTTTTTTTGTGACCATCAGACAGATTACAGTAGTGGCAGTAAGTTTAATTTACTCCGACAATAGCCCTGGGGAGAAATAAAGTCAGAGACAGAGTGCAAAGAAAATACTAAAGATGGCCACAAATTCTTTGAATTTCTCCCATCACAAGATGGAGTCTATGTCACCTCCTTTGAATCTGTGTGAACTCCGTGACTGCTTTGACAAATATACTGTGATGAAGTGATGCTGTGTCAGTTTCCAGGCAAGCTTTAACAGAATGGCACGGGCCGGCTGGTTAGCTCAATTGGTTAGAGTGTGGTGTTGGAACACCAAGGTCAAGGGTTTGGATCCCGGTATAAACCAGCCACCAAAAAACAAATAAATAAAAAATAAAATAAAATAAAAAATGCTTTCACAGCTTCCACAGCCTGTCTCTGTGGAGTCCTGAGCTGCCATGTAAGAAGTTCAGTTGCCCTGATGGAAAGACCACATGGCAAAAATCTGAGACTGCAAGGATCTGAGACTACACGGAGAGGAGGCCTGCTGAGTCCAGGCTTTCAGCCATCCCCTTTCAATGCCAGGCACATGAGTAAGACTGTGTGGGACCTTCCAGACTAGCCTAGCTGCCAGCTGTAATACTACCAACTAAATCTGGTTGATGCCATGTGGAACAGAGGAATCACCTAGCTGAGCCCTGTCCAAATTACTGACTCAAAACATGTGTCATATAATACAGTGGTTGCTTTAAGCCACTGAGTTTTGGGATAGTTTGTTATGTCTTTTTGTGAATGGCTTATTTCACTTAGCATAATGTCCTCAAGGTTCATCCATGTTGTAGCTTATGTCAGAATTTGCCTCCTTTTTAAGGTTGTATAGTATTCTGCTATATGTATATACCACATTTTGTTTATCCATTCATCCATTGATGGACACTTTGGTTCCTCTTGGTTATTGTGAATAGTGCTGCTGTGAACATGGATGTGCAAATATCTCTTTGAGACCTTGCTTTCAATTCTTGTGGATATATACCCAGAAGGAGATTATTGGATCATATTGGGTAGTTCTATTTTTAATTTTTTTGAGGAACCACCATACTGTTTCCCATAGCAGTTGCAACGTTTTACAATCCTACCAACTATAGATTGCTTTTAGTGACTCAACTGTGAAGTAGATTATAAGAAATTGTCTTAAGTACAATAGAAAACATCAACAGAAATAAAATCCAGACCATTGTACTACAGACATGTCAGTCAGGAGGGTTTAAATTGATAACTATTACAAAACAGTAATATCCATTTTGTGTTTTTAAATAGAAATATATAAATTAGAAGCCTTATTTTTAAATCATTTTAGTGTAATTAGTTTTGTGTTTTGATTTACATTTTAGCTTTTGTTTAGAAAGACTAGGCTGTAATATTTTTGGACTATATTAATAACCTTTCTTTTGTGTTAAATTTTGAATGAGATGCAAGGGTACTTCAAAAAGTTCATGGAAAAATAGAATTGAAAGATAATACAAATCCTTCCATGAACTTTTTTTATTTTTTATTTTTATTATTTATTTATTTATTTATTTATTTTGTCTCTTTTTTCGTGTCCGGCAACGGATCGCAACCCTCAGTTTCGCGCCCGGNTATTTATTTATTTATTTTGTCTCTTTTTTCGTGTCCGGCAACGGATCGCAACCCTCAGTTTTCCACCCGTACCGGACCGGGACCGGCAACGGGATCGCAACCCTCGGTGCTGCGCACGCACCTCGCCCAGCCAGTGAGCGGGAACCGGTCCGTATGTGGGATCCGAACCCTCGGCGGGAGCGCCACCGCGCTCCCAAGCGGCGCACTGTAGCAGTGCGCCACCGGGCCAGCCCCTTCCATGAACTTTTTGAAGACCATTCATGTTTCAAATATACAGAATAGAATAGAAAATAATATAACAATTATCTGAGTACTTACAAACCCAGCTTGAACAAATCTTCACCATATTTATGTCATATTTCTTTAGATTTGTACCTAGAAGTAGTGTAGTAGGGCAGGAAAAAAAAACCCCATCAAACATTTCCACTCTTTGCTGACTGTGGAAGCAGGAAAAAACACGTAAAATCAGAGAAGAGAAACTTGTAAGTAAATGTATTCGTCCTTGGCTATCTGGAATTCTTCCGGTAGTATGAGAGAAAAATGGCCCAGCAGTTAGAATCACGGACTCTAAAGTTATATGGACCTGGATTCTAGTCCTAGGTTTGTTTCTTGCCAGTTGTGTAGCCTCAAGCAAGTTGCTTAATTTCTTACTCCCTTAGTTTTCTCATCTGTAAAACAGAGATAACCATAATACTTTCCAAGTTTGTTGAGAGAATTAAAAGAGAAATGTGAGCTCTTATGTATTTACTATATACAGTCAATGACACATAGTAAAGGTGTAAATAAACATTAGTAGCAATAAACATTAGTAATTACTTGTTTTGTTTATTGAGCATTCAACATAGGCAAATCACTCTCCTAGTGCTGAGAGTTCAGCAGTGAACAGAGAGATATAGACCTCTGTGGAGCTCACTTTCTAGTGACAGACAATAAATAAGAAAACAAGATGATTTCAAATAGTGATAGGAACATGAAGAAAATATCAGTAATGGGAAGGGGTTGAAGAAGTTACTTTAGACAGGAGACAGGAGGTCATTGGAGGCCTTCAGAAATGAAATTTAACTCAAACTAGCAGAAGGAACCATTATTGGGAAGAGACAGAAGAAACAGTACATGCTTAGGCCCTGAGGCAAGAAAACTTGACTTGTAAAAAAAAAAAAAACAGGAAGGATAGAGTGGCTAGAGCTCAGCATGTGAAGGGAAAGAGAATGGGCATGCCATTTCAGAGTTAGGAAGGGCAGGCCAAGAAGGGCCTTGTAGACCATAGTAAGGAGGTTGGACTTTATTCTTAATGGACCGTAAAGACACTGGAGGTTTTTATTGCTAGTGACGTACAGCACTCTCTGTTCTGGGGAAGAATTTGTGTGCTTCCCTGTAGCTCTGTTTTAGAATTATGAGTGTATGCATGCTTTAGGAGTAACATTTCTGGGGATTTCACATTGGTTACTCATCGGCTCCCTCTGGTGGAGTTGGTGGCTCAGTTTGAATTCTCAGGTCTGCAAAAGCAAAGTAAAATCAGCAATTAATTTATCCCAAGGTAAATAAGCAATTTATCCTTTAATCCAATAAACATTTATTGGGTGGCTGCAATTTGCCAGGCTCTGTTCTGGTGCTGAAATACACCCATGAACAAAACAAACAAACATCCATGCCCAAAGGGAGCTTACATTTTGGTGGGGCAGTGGGGAGAGACATTAAATCAAATTTACAGGGAACTTGTTGGATGGGATAAATATTATTACACAAAAATTAAGTGGGGAACTGGAGTAGAAAGCACGAGGAGGATGGAGGTATTCCAATTTTAAGTATAGCGTTAAGGAAGGTCTCATCGAGAAGGTGATGTTTGAATAAAGATGTAAAGGAGTTATCAGGGTGAATGAATGTATCTGGGGGAAGAACATTCCAAGCATAGGGATCGGCAAGCCGAAAGGCCCTGAGTCTACCTACAGGTTTGAGGAACAGCAGAGGCCAGTGTGCCTTAAGTGGGAGGATGACAGAGGGAGCAGGAGATGAGGTTGGAGTTGTACTGGGAGATGTCAGAACTTGGGGGTCTTGTAGGCAAATGCAAGGATTTTGGTTTTCACTCTGATAGGAATCCATTGGAGGAGGGACATGATCTACCTAAGGTTTTAACAGGCACCCGCTGCTACTGTGTTAACAGATTAGGGGGAGGGATGGGCAGTGGTATAATTAGGGCACTTACAGTCACAGACTGACTGTGGCTTATACCAACAGAGACAGTACGTGGTCAGATTCTGGACACATTTTGAAGGCAGATCCTACAGATCTTGCTAATGATTTAGATGTGGGGTGTGAGGGAGAAAAGTTAAGGATTTTAGTAAATGATGTTACTTATTAACCTATTGTCATAGGAAAAGGTGATCAAAGAACATACAGCCAAAAAATGTAGGAAAAAATATTTTAGAGGTGTATCGAGCAGTTAATAAAAATAGTGTGCTTTCTCCCTGGATTTTGTGGTATTTGTGAGCTAATTTTTCAAAAAAATGTAATTTGTGATTTATTTTCTCATTATAAAATATTCACTTGCTCATTGCCCATACTGGGATTGTAATTTAAAATTAATGAAACATTTAAAATTTCGTTTCTGTAAACAATGTGTACGAAATGAAGTTAATTGTAAGCTGAATATAATATGAGGAATAAACTAAATTTGGGTATAAAAAGGTAACTTTGGAGCTGGCCGGTTAGTTCAGTTGGTTAGAGCTCGGTGTCATAAACCCAAGGTCAAGGGTTCGGATCCCCCGTACTGGCCAGCTACCCCCCTAACCCTCCCAAAAACCACCTTGGGGTAGCCTCCCAAGTGTCTTCCAAAACTTCCCACCCTTTCTTCCTCCTACAGTGTTTCTAAATCTACCAAAAGCATCCAGCATTTCTCTTCACGTTCCCTTTAGGGAGGCGGGGATTACACGCATTTTAAAAGATCGTGAAAAATGAGGGCTATAGTACACTTCATCGGAGGTGCTTGTGGCTCAGTAGCTCAGCAGGTGTCAGCTCATCAGCACTCTGCACGACTCAGTGGCGCCGAGAGGGGCGTGGCCAGGGGCGTGGCTCGCCGGGCCGTCGGGGTGGGCGGGGTCTAGGAGCTTCCCCGCCCCTTGAGGCCCGACACATGCGCCCGGAGGCTTCTGGTGGAACTAGTTGTGGATTGTGAGGTGACCCTGGCGGCTAACTTCCGGTTCCTAGGGATGCGCATCCGGGTCACGCTAACGCCGCGGTTTCCTGCACTCGCTTGGTGCTACTGTGGGTCTGAACTGGACCCCATGCCCTACTGTGGGGCTTCTGCAGCCTTTGGGTGAGTCCCCACCGCCGACAGAGTCTGAGCGCGGCCGGTTGAGTACAGCCTGTAGGGGGACGGGTCAAGAGTTCTACCTCGGTCTTTGTGGGTGGGGGGTCTCTTCGCCTATCCCTTGTCCCTGCGGAGCTTCTTTCATCTCAGCCTTTTCCCTCACGCTGGCCTCGCCTCTGTCACCTTATCTTAGCCTTTCTTGCCTCCGCTTACCTCTCGCTTCGCTGTTTTTCCTCAGCCTCATCGGCCCCCCTTTTAACCCTGGATTCTTGCTTTTCGCCTCAGCCTTCCCTCAGCCACTGCCCCTCCGTTTTGCTCCTACTGTCTCATTTTAGCACCTCTCCTTCCCAACCCCTGATCCGGACCGTACCGTTCTTTTCACCCAGCGGGACGGCCCATCTTATTGTGCTCACTCTTCTCCACTGCGAAACTGAGCCTCTGTCTAGGATCTTAGCTCTTCGTCCCCCAACTTTCCTCACCTTTGACCCTTCTTCCCTCTCGGGACTCGTAGGTGACACTAGTGCTTCGCCTGGGGTTCTGCCTTTCCTTTACTAGAGAAGGGCTTTGCCAAAAGCTCAATCTGGGAAGACTTCCCCAGCCTGGGGGAAGTTTTGTCTTAAGGCGCTGGGTTAGACTGAACCTGGCCGCTTCCGTAGTTAGGGAACAACAGAGGTGTTCCCAGTTCTTTGCTGGAGCTCAGTTTTGGGGCTCTCTCGAGCAGCTAACAGGTGGCGGGCACACGGTACTTCTAGCGGTTGGGCTTGTGTGATCTTGTTAATTGACAGGTCATGGGGACATGCTGTCAGTTTTGTCTTCTCTATGCCAAGAGAATGGATGTGCACATTTTGCTGAGGCAAAAATGCGGATGTTGCGGGACGGTCAGCTCTGTTTTCTGCATGGGCTTTATCTATAGGACAGTTGCTATGACAGAGGACAGAGTTTCCTTGGGAGATTATTAGCCCTAGATTTATAAGCTCATTGTCAAAAATGCTGGTGTGTTATTGAAACGTTTTTGCTCAAGAGTTCACTATAGTAATTTCCAAGTAATTTTCTTTAGTTGAACTCAGTATACAGATATGTATTCCTATCCTTACCTCTTATACATTGTTTTTTCATTTTACTCTATTAGCAAGTTTCCTGTTTTTCTTTTTGTTTCTTCATAAGCTAGACATTACAGTACTTTGCTTCTTAGAATATTCTTCTAACTTTTTTTTTTCTTTACTGTTTCCACCTTAGTCTTAAAACCATTTTTTTTCTCGTTTTGAGACTTAGGGCATCTTAACTAAATTTCTCCGAAGGCTTTAAGTTATCTATAACATGAAGGGATTGGGTTTAATAATGGGTAGTGTCCCATTTCCCAAATTTTGTGATGCGAGGTATATTTTGAGGACAGGGTTGGATACTTCCTCCCCTCGGTGTTTATTGTGTATGTCTGGCAGTCGATTACAGAGTTTTTTGTGTGATCATTTTCTGTAATCATACAAATTGTGCTCTAAAATTTAGTACTTACATGTGAACAGAACAAATACAGTTTTTAGCATCTGCATCTCTTTTGGCTAATGAATTACAGAAAAGTCTCCTTCATTATATAATGTATGAGGGCACTTCAGAGAGTTTGTGGCATAGTAGAATTAAAAGATAATATGAATCTTTTCATGAACCTTTTGAAGACCCCTCATGTATATATGAGAGTATAGCATAGACATTGGCTTATTCCAAAATTGGGCTGCTCCCTTCAGCTATTTTTAGCAAATGATTTTGGAGCTTTGCCATGTTAGTCCTAGAAGCCACAGAGAAGGACCCTTCTCGTTGGCCTTCAGGATTTATCTAACTGCTGAGGGAAGCCCCTTTGAAAGTTTCTTAGGTTCTCCCTAGCATCTACACTGGAAACTCTACCTTCTGTTCAAACAGGCTTCATCATTTCCCATCTTTAAAAACTAACGCCAATGAGTATGGCTGACTTGAGCTTCTTCCTTACCTCCAGGTTTGTGGACTTTTTTTTCTAAGCCGTGGGAACTCCGTAGACAGACCCATATTTGGGTTGACACAGGGCCCTCTTTCAGCCTTTTTCATTTCTGAACTTTGTATTTCTTGTGCATGTCTAAATCTCTAAACTTATATAGAATTCTACAGTTCACAGCTGGAGGGAATCGTAAAGTTCAAACCTACCCCTTTATTTTACACATAAGGAAATCAGGGCTTAAAGAATTAATGATGTCAAGCAGTATGTTTTTGATGAAATTTTTTAAAAAAATGGATGAGTTTTCCAAGGTCTTTTTTTTTTTTTTTTTAAATAAAGAAGTCATGCACATGCACTCAGAGTAGTGGGTTTTAGTTCCATCAAAGCTGTAGGCTGGAGAGCACATATGTACTATTTAGTGGGTCATTTTGACACACTTATGTTATAGGAATGAGACTATTAGTATAAAAAAATCTAAAACAAAATTTTAAATCCGAGGCTGAAGTTATTCTGCCTTGAAAGAGGGACTAGAGTTAAGAAACTGTTTTGTGCAGACACAGAGTTGAAAGAGAGAAGTTTTTCTCTTTTTACTTCTAAGAGGACTTTGACCTATTATGATATAAATTGTGCATAGAATTCCTTAAATGAAATGAGCATCCTGTGTTCATATTGAAGCAGTTATGTTTATGCTGTTGGTCTTCGTACAGAACTTTCTGTAGACTTTATGATGTCTGAAAAGCCTGCCCTCCTTACCTACCTGCCACCTCCCCACCCCGCAGAATCTCTAGAGACAGCTTAGTGTGTGTTTATTTTTAAACTTCAGAATCACTGTAGGTTTTCTATAGAACTGTCTACTTTAGTTTGGCAGTCTTAGTTTATAACCCTGGGGTCTCAATTTGAAATACATTTCTACATATTAGTTTTATGTCTACTGGATTTTCTTATTTTGTTTTGGTTTTTTTTTTTGTCATTTTATCTCTTTTGTTTTACATGTTTTACTTTTTGTCCTTGAACCCTATGATGTGTTTTAAGGAAGATGCAGTTTTAAAAGTTTAAGAAACAAAATACACTTCCAGCATATCCTTAACCATTTGTACCTTACAGTATCTTGGTTTCTGTGATCTGCCTAAGCTGCTTCATGGCTTCATTCTCTTTGTTTTGATTACAAATAAAAGGCTCATAGAACTTTTTTTTTCGTTGTTTGTGTAAACTATTTTTGCATTCTGCATGTAACAACAGGATATTTTAGCTCATGTATGATTTAAATGGAGGAAGAATAGTTAAAAATAGAACTGTATATTTAAAAATACTGAGAGGGCCGGCCCGGTGGCGCACTGGAGAGTGTGCCGCTTGGGAGTGCAGCGGCGCTCCCGCCGAGGGTTCGGATCCCATGTGGAGACCGGTTCCTGCTCACTGGCTGAGCGTGGTGCGGGTGCAACACCGAGGGTTGTGATCCCGTTGCCAGTCCCTGGTATGGGCGCGACACCGAGGGTTGCGATTCCGTTACCGGTCAGTAAAAAAGATAAAAAGGAAAAATAAATAAATAAATAAATAAATAAAATACTGAGAATACACCAAGGTCAAGGGTTTGCATCCCCTTACTGTACAGCCGCCAAAAACAACAACAACAACAACAAATATTAGGAATAGTTTATTCTTTCCATACATTTATCTAATTGGTTTATACCAAAGGGCTGAATTGTTGTATTTATAATAAAGTTGAAAGTAGGTGGGCTTTCTGTCTTCTGATTAACTTAAAAATACAAGTACATCTTTTTGTATAGACTATATAGCTTAACCTATAACGTACCCTATTGATAGTGGTATGCTTTATTGTCAGAGAACATCTCAAATAATGGAACACATAATCATCTTGATATTTTTGCTTCCATCAACCTATGTCCCAGAGTAGCTAATAGCTAAATGTAGAAATAATTAAGATATATTCTCTGTTATTTATAGTAAATTTAAAAACAGGCATTTAAAATATGGGCTTCATAAAATTTGTCTTTACTGTGGCCCCCTTTTAAATATGCAATGTTATATTAAGTCAGAAAAGGAAATGTGTAGTTTAAATAGTATGACTTATTGTAAATAAGTTAACAGATCAGCCCAACACAGTCTGTGCTTAATATCTTAAATGATCTCACCACAGATTGTGTTGGATGCACTTTAACTTATTAGCTTTGTTAATGTTTGTACCAGTTAGATTTGTGTCTTTTTTTCCCCCCTAGAAAATAGTTAGAAATAATCATTGTAATACATTTTTTTCAGCAAATGGCATTTGGGCACCTACTGTGTACAGTTACAATAATACATATTTATGCTGCTCATGTGAACTAGGTGACATTGTACAGGGTTGACATTTACTGAATTTGATCTTATTTGTACATTTCTGAATTGAACATAAGACTTAACATGATTAGAATTAAAATAAACTTTAATCCTATGAAAGTGTCACTTCTTACCAGTGACAGTGGCATATTATTTTATTTTTATTTATTTATTTATTTATTTCTAAAGATGACCGGTAAGGGGATCTTAACCCTTGACTTGGTGTTGTCAGCACCGTGCTTACCCATTGAGCTAACTGGCCATCCCTATATGGGATCCGAACCCGCGGCCTTGGTGTTATCAAGCACCACACTCTCCCGAGTGAGCCACAGGCCAGCCCATATAATTTTTAAACTGGATTTTAAGACTTTCTCTTGTTTTGAAAACAGAGTGATTTCTCATTATTTCTTTGGCTTAAGCTTCTTGCATTAATCTGTATCACAGTTTAATGAATATAAAATCATGTTCTTTATTGTAGGGACAATTAAATAATTTTCATTTGGGAAGCTTTTTCACAACTGAACTGTAAAAATCTGTAGTGGTAAAACAATGAAAATAAAAGCAAACTTTATGTAGCATTTACTGTATATCAGGAATTATTCTAAGTGGTTTACATGTATTAACTCTTTAATCCTTACAACCCTATGAAGTAAGTACTATTCTTACTATCCCCATTTTACATATAAGGAAACCAAGGCACAGAAGTTACAAA